CAGATACATTTAATTTCATGAATGTTTGAGGCTGGAAAGTAACACTGTGCAAAAAAAAAAAAAGAAAAAAGACTCAAACGGCGTGAAAACATTACAGCTCAGCGAGACAATAAACTGCAGTTTGAAGGTGGACGTGGCAAGCAAATTAAAACAGCATGAGTAAGAGACGGAGCTGGAAGGCGTTCGCTGTCACTTTCCATCGGATTCGTTTCTAGATATTGTATTGTGAGGAATCAGAGGAGGGAGGCAGGCAATCACGGTATCAGTGCAGCCTTTGTCTCTTTACACTACTTCATATCAAACCCAAATGGACTGCAGCAGATGACACCTTGTTTGAAGGAGCGAGATGTTTGATCGAGGATGTGTTTGATGCAGAAGGAATAAAAAGTAACACCTTAGCTGTTCGAGCTCGGCTGCGGCTGTTTGAAGTGTTGGAGCAGGAAAGCCCCGGTATTCGTTCTCATCCGCCGAGTTTCTACGTGAGGGAAGGGTGAGACAAAAAAAAAGAAAAGAAGCGGGAATAGGGTATGTGCTGGCGCAAGTACAGAATTAAAACAAGTACTTTGGAAATAAAGGATGAAGTGTGTAGAGTTGAGCTTAGAAAGCAGCGTATGCTTAGGAAAATAAAAAAAACAATATTGTGATTCTGAATGAGTGTGATGATTAAACTTTTAAAGTGCACTTGATGCAGCGTACTGAGCTCTAAACTTTGATTTCCCATGAATATAACGAGATGCATATTTAAATATCAAGACGACTCAAATGAAGGAGAAAAAAAATATTACATCATTTTTACACACTTTAACGTCAAAATGAAAACTGATTTCTAAAAAAATAATGATTACATATGATTAACAAAAGCGACTGCATACATTTTTACCTGCCTTTAAGGTGACTGACCTAAATCGACAGAGGTTCAGCTATTGCAGAGAAACAGACAAGAATGTAGCCACCGGCTAGCAGTTAGCCGCTAGCAGCTAATGTTGGTGCCTGCTGCGTTTGGTAGTCTCTAGTTAAGACTCTAAAATAGGTTGATTAGACCTGATCTGAATGATTCTAGACTGAACAGAGAGTCCTTAGAAACAAGTTTGTGATTTCTGACACCTTCATTCAATTTATTATAAGACAAAAGGTTCATTTTTTGACTTTTTAGCATAAAAAACGCCTTCAGATCAGACAATAAAACCCAAAACTTAGTCTTAAAACCCATTAGTTCCGTTGTAAATTAGATTTATATGTATAGACCAGCATTCCTCAACTGAGGAAGTAAAAATATTACAATGTCAACTTTTGGACTTGAGATGGCATAATTTAACCTTTGCTGCATCTTATTCTGTTACCCACAGCAAAGATGATGTGAAAAATCATCTTCAGCTATGTAAAACTGCTTTTTTTTTTTTTATTAAAGTGGGTGAAAATCACGTTTGCTTCAATGTTGTTTTGTTGAATATGATGTGTTTAAATCGCTGAGGGCTCTTTTGTTTTGCGTTTTCAGTGACAGTTTTTGCTGCAAGTTGGGATGTGAGTGAGAAAAGGAAGACGGGGATGCCCATGGACAAATGCGTTATTACTGAACACAAAATGTAGAAACTACATTACCCAGTATTTCTTAAGCCAAAAATGAAACCCATTCTTCTCTCAGCAGAGCTGTTTATCCTTTTCACAATGCAATTTTTTTCTATTGTGGTTGATTCTGTGTTTGTTTGTTGTTTTGTTTTTTCATTAAGTGACAGATATACTGGTTCATCAGTAACTTCCAAGATGGCACGTTCATGTTAATTTCTTGTCTGTGGGTGGCTGATGGCAGGAACAATCCAGTTTCACTTTGGGCACATGTCTCATTCACAAGTTAAACATCTGATTGACGATGCTCCTGGTTCAGTATAAGCTTCATGAGTGTGCAATCATCAAAATAATGTAAAAAAAATAATTCATTTGTTCTGTAATGCAAAACAATGAATTTAGTCTTAATGTAGTGAGTGAAATGAATCATAGTACCTGGTAGTACTAGTATAATAACTTGTACAAGGTTTCACAAGGTTATTTTAATTCTTAACATAAGACCAGAATCATTTCATTTTAAGTCAGAGATGAATTTGGAGATACAATTAAAGCTCACAGAGCAGAACTCCTCTGCTGCTCCCCCATTCAACTCCTTCAGATTAGCCAACAGCAATTAGCAAACGATATAAAATGACATTAAATGGCATAATATAACCCTTTCTGCATCTTATTTTGTTACGCTGGAAAACACATAATGCTGCCCCTTTAAACCTTTATAGCAGTTAATAATAGATTTTTTTTTTTCAAAATATTTTTTTTTTTCTAAGTCGGACTTCTTTAAATGAGTAATGTCTACATCTTTGTCACGTCCTAATTCCCTAACAGGAGAATAAGACACAGTGGAAAAATGAAATTTAAGACACACCTTGAACAAGAATTAAAACCTATGATGGAAAACCTGGATTGTTTTCAGGCCTAAAAAATTCCGATCTTAAAATTTAAGCCACTTTATGACTTTAGCAGAACCTTGAGAGGCTTTTCCATTATTAAAGCACAGCCAGTCTAAGTACCTGACTTTGTCCCACCCTCCAACGCATCCCCACTTTTGCAGCCTTACCCCATTTTAATCTAGTCCAATCTTTCATAATCAGCAAAAACCATTCTTCTCCCCTGATTGAGGAAGGGGAAGAGAGGAATGGGGGAGGATTGTGTTTCGCATGTCAACTAGTGGTTAACCTCAGGAAAGAAAAAAAAAAAACTTTCCCCGCCGTTAATCTCGGACGAGCATCTGAGCTTATTATTGAGGAAAAGCTAATTAAAAATCAGTTAACATCTCCGCAAATACCTTTTTTCTGCTTGTAGAAAAAAAAAAGAGAGGGGGGTAGAGGGAAGAAAAAAAAAAGACACCTGAATAGGCTCACTGTTCTTAGCTGTAACCGAAAAGACCCCGTGACTGCGCCTAATCTGCAAATTATATAACTCACAGGGCCATTTCCCTATGTAATACTGCAGGAAACAAAAGGACAGTTATTTCTGGGGGAGCAGTTTTTTTTTTTTTTNGTTGGTCAGTCAAAATGTGTACAACTCTTAAACTCTGTTAAAATTCCAAGCTAGTCAGCTGTAGGCTGTATTTCTTTTGACTTGTTGTCCCATAAGAGGAGGAAATATGAACCCAAAGAGGTCAAGAGGTTCCATTGTTGTCTCATTTGTCCATATGTTGCCGTATTCCATACATACAACTACAAATGGGACTTGTATATTTCTTTATACAATGACAGAATATAACTGTATGCCACATTTTGAAGATTTTTTTTGTCTTTAAGGGGCAGTATTATGTGTTTTCCAGGCATATAGATCCATTTTATAGCACAAACAAGTAACTTTAGTTGTTGTAAAAGTGCTGTTTATATCAAATATGACTTAGAAGAAATTTGATTTTGTGATTTAATGCCTGGGCTGCACAGTGGTGCAGTTGGCACCCCTGTTGCCTTGGAGCAAGAAGGTCCTGGGTTCGAATCCCGGCCTGGGGTCTTTCTGCATGGAGTTTGCATGTGCATGCATGGGTTCTTTCCGGGTACTCTGGCTTCCTCCCACAGTCCAAAAACATGACCGCGAGGTTGATTGTCACTAAATTCTCCTTGGGTGTGAGTGTGTGCATGATTGTTGCCCTGTAATGGACTGGCAACCTGTCCATGGACTGCTGGAGATAGGCACCAGCACCCCTCACAACCTCACTAGGGACAAGCATGTTGAATAATAGGTAGAATTTAACACCTTTCAGAAACTCCTACTCTTTCTGAGACTCCACCTTCAGGAAGTCATTGCAATATCGCTCCTCTATTAACCCTTTAACAACATTATTACCAGCGTTGCACTGAGAAGTAGTCGTAAAATGTTTGCTATTTGCTTCTGGCTAGTCTGAAGGAGCTGCTCTGTAAGGCAGAAGCTCCAAAGTTTGGAAACTGCAACTACAAGGAGGAGCTTTGTCCTCAAGGCAGAGCTACATCCACCCAAGTGTTTTACACAGCTGTGGTTGCCACGGAGATTGAAGGATTTCTCAAACATGCATGAAAGAATCAAAGCAACACTCCTTGTATGTTTTTGATGAGTGAATGGCATTGCAACATGACATAAAGCTCAAAAAAGTTGATTTTACATTATACTGCCCCTATAAAATAAATTTAAATCACATTGATCCCCCCAAAATACTTAGTTTTGTGTGAAAAGGTTTCAGTATGTTCTGCGAAGAACTGTAACTTGTCCTTGTGTGTGTTTGTGGAGTGGTTCTAACCTCCAGTATCAGTTTGACAAAACCGTTACATATGTCTGATGAAATTGTTTCCTTTTTCTACGGTCCTTCTTGCTCAGTCTAGGATTTCTTTTCTTTTTCTGCCCATTGTAGGCCCACTAAGAAAAAACTTGAAAGAGGAGTCTGTTGCTCTGTCCAGCGTCCATCACCCAGGTGTGCCAACAAAAGCTCCCAACAGATCCCACCCAGTGACCCTCGCGAAAGGTCATGTAAGAACTCCAATCTAAATTCCTTGCTTGACAAAACCCTTGAAAGGCTGCCTGAATGGGGCTTTCCCCCCCCCCCACGGCGCCAAAAAAAAAAAAAAAAAAGGACTCTTCAGCCGAGACGTGCGGAATGTCTCAATCGTTTTCGGACGAGGCAGGAGCTAAAGCGGGTTAAAGTTTGGAAAACGAACCGCCGCCTCAGCTTGCTTTAGGTAGTTGACTGGCTTTGCTAACTGGCTTTGCATGGCGCCGCCATCGAGGCCTCAGCACCAGGCTGTGAGAGGAAGCCTCAAGCGGAGGTATTATGCTGGGCCGCACTCTGGCATCCACAGCCTGTCCCTCGCAATTATTCCTAGAGCGACAGCAACGGTACCGTTTGGTATATCAGTGAAACGCAGACCCCGGTTCCGTCCCTCTTCCTCCTTGTGTCGCCTTTAGCGGGTTTTCACCGAATGCAGAATGGAGGAGCCGGCCAGAAGGTGTTTTGTTTTTTTATTTATTTTTTTTCCAAGGGCTTTAGCCCCCCTTTCAGCCCTTTGACAGGCATGGCTGTGAAAATGTGGAAGCCGCAACCTTGGCAACTGCTCAGTTTCAAACCGGGACGAGGAAACGCCGGCGCCTTCTCCCCCCCTCAGTCACGTTTAATACATCAAAATAATAAAAAAATAAAATAAAGCTGGAAAAGAAACTGAGAAATATTAAAATATAACGTCCTGAGAGGCGTCATCGTTAGAAAGAAAGTGACGGGTAGGAGGGATTTGGAGCTTAAAAGCGAATGTGCCATGCAGGACCTGAAGAGATTCATGGTCTCCAATCCGGTTGTAAAGATTTATCAAGGTGTACTGAGTTCAAAATTAATTCTCACAGATCTGTGCGTAAGAGGGTTTGTGTGTCCTGCACTAAAGAGTATAAAACAAAACAGTGCTGACAGTGTCTCTCTGTTCCCCCCAGCAGCAGAATTGAGTAACACTGGCATAAGCAGCCTCTCTCTCCTCATCTTCCTCCCTCACTCTATTGACTCTGTGGATAATCTTGACTCCCCAGAAAAAGAAAAAAAATCCTTAAGCAGCTGGCCACAAACCTTGTGCTTGAGTGCACATGCATACAATATCTTCCCTCCAGCCCTGGGGCTGTTTTTCACCCCTCTTTCGCTCTCTCCCTCCTTCCTCTTCTTCTTTTTCTTCTTCTTTCCCGGTTCTCCAGTGAGTTCCCAAGCCAACTCGTCTGGGGGAAAAAAAAAAAAAAAGGCAGGATTTGTTGGTTGGGTCTGGGAGCGTGTGCCAAAATCAACACTGCTTCCTTTTCCTCAGGGAAACCTGTAGCAAATTGGACTGGAGCTGGCTTTTCACTTTGTCCAGAGGATGCAGGCTTCCTCTGGTAGTGAAACCGAAGACACCGGTGTCCATTTTTGTCATAAATAAAAAAGAAAAAAAGAAAAATAGAAGCAAGCAAGTGAAGTGAGCAGTAAATTGGACGTAGTACAAATAGATTGATTTCCTGTGTAAATGGGTAAGCCAATGGAGAGCTGCTTTTGATTTGTGAGCAGCTGAAATAGTGGTTTCCTTCCCTCTGCTGCAGTCAAAAACTGTAACTATCATGTCGATATGGATTAAATGTTTGGAGCAGTATAAAGACCTTTTTTTTTTAAACCTCATCACGTTTTGTCACATTACAACAACAAAGTGTTACGATCCGTGTTTCTGTGCGTTTATTTTTGAGTTTTTCTGTGTAGTCCTGTTCCCTGCGAGTCTGTCTCTGCGTCTTCCCTTGATTGTTTCCCAGGTATGTCTCATTCCCTTAATTACCCCGTGTGTATTTAAACCCACCTGTTGTCTGTGTTCTTTGTCGGGTCCTTGTCTTTGTCTATGTAGGTCACACACTGTCTTGCTCTCCGGTCGTACTGCTAAGTCCTGGATTGTGGTTTGCTTGCATGTTAGTTCCGTTAATCTGTTGCTACCGGCATTTTAGCTGTGCGCTAGTCTGTGTGCCGTGCTGCCTGTACCTGGACTACTCTGAGCGTTATCTTAATTAAAACCATCTCATTCATCTACATCCTGGGTCCACCTGCGTCTTCCTCACCACCACCAACTACACCGATCCTGACACAAAGCTTATTATTTCAGTGGGGATGTCATGTGGTGGACCAAATCAAAGTAATGCACAACAGTACAGTGGAAGTAAATTGATTTTCTTTATTGTGAGTTGATTGTTGGTAGGTAGGCATTCCTACCTACCTACCTGCCCACCTTCCTTCCAACCTTCCCACCTAACTTCCTTATCTACCTTTCTGTCAATCTACCTTCCACTAAAATCTGATGCTACTCCATTTTTGTCTACAACTCGTAATGAATGAAGTTGTGCTCATCGCTCATGTCTTCTTCAAAGGATTTTGCTTCATTTACCTCAGTGGTTCTTGTTGCAGGCGAAAAGGCTGCAGAAGTTTTTCAAAGAGTTTTGTTTGTTTGACACAGTGCCATTGAAAGCGGATGGCACCAGCTGAATATGTAACAAATGTTGCAACTTTATAGGGTGTGAAAACACCCGAAGAGGAAGCTTGTTCCAAAGTTTGGGATCTACGGCACTCCTGGAAAGCGACAAGAATTCTGACTTCAAACTTTTTCTTTTTACACACTTGTGTAAAACCTCTTGTGAGATAAGGAGGTCCATCTAAACATTTAAAACTCAGAAATCAAATCTTGAACAAAATCCTAAAAAGTACAGGCAACCAGTGTAGGGAGGACATGTGGGGTGGAAAAAAAGTACCGTCACACTCCTTCCAATTCATAATTGTGCTCCACTTTGTGTTGGTCTGTCACATTCAGATACATTTAATTTCATGAATGTTTGAGGCTGGAAAGTAACACTGTGCAAAAAAAAAAAAGAAAAAAGACTCAAACGGCGTGAAAACATTACAGCTCAGCGAGACAATAAACTGCAGTTTGAAGGTGGACGTGGCAAGCAAATTAAAACAGCATGAGTAAGAGACGGAGCTGGAAGGCGTTCGCTGTCACTTTCCATCGGATTCGTTTCTAGATATTGTATTGTGAGGAATCAGAGGAGGGAGGCAGGCAATCACGGTATCAGTGCAGCCTTTGTCTCTTTACACTACTTCATATCAAACCCAAATGGACTGCAGCAGATGACACCTTGTTTGAAGGAGCGAGATGTTTGATCGAGGATGTGTTTGATGCAGAAGGAATAAAAAGTAACACCTTAGCTGTTCGAGCTCGGCTGCGGCTGTTTGAAGTGTTGGAGCAGGAAAGCCCCGGTATTCGTTCTCATCCGCCGAGTTTCTACGTGAGGGAAGGGTGAGACAAAAAAAAAGAAAAGAAGCGGGAATAGGGTATGTGCTGGCGCAAGTACAGAATTAAAACAAGTACTTTGGAAATAAAGGATGAAGTGTGTAGAGTTGAGCTTAGAAAGCAGCGTATGCTTAGGAAAATAAAAAAAACAATATTGTGATTCTGAATGAGTGTGATGATTAAACTTTTAAAGTGCACTTGATGCAGCGTACTGAGCTCTAAACTTTGATTTCCCATGAATATAACGAGATGCATATTTAAATATCAAGACGACTCAAATGAAGGAGAAAAAAAATATTACATCATTTTTACACACTTTAACGTCAAAATGAAAACTGATTTCTAAAAAAATAATGATTACATATGATTAACAAAAGCGACTGCATACATTTTTACCTGCCTTTAAGGTGACTGACCTAAATCGACAGAGGTTCAGCTATTGCAGAGAAACAGACAAGAATGTAGCCACCGGCTAGCAGTTAGCCGCTAGCAGCTAATGTTGGTGCCTGCTGCGTTTGGTTGTCTCTAGTTAAGACTCTAAAATAGGTTGATTAGACCTGATCTGAATGATTCTAGACTGAACAGAGAGTCCTTAGAAACAAGTTTGTGATTTCTGACACCTTCATTCAATTTATTATAAGACAAAAGGTTCATTTTTTGACTTTTTAGCATAAAAAACGCCTTCAGATCAGACAATAAAACCCAAAACTTAGTCTTAAAACCCATTAGTTCCGTTGTAAATTAGATTTATATGTATAGACCAGCATTCCTCAACTGAGGAAGTAAAAATATTACAATGTCAACTTTTGGACTTGAGATGGCATAATTTAACCTTTGCTGCATCTTATTCTGTTACCCACAGCAAAGATGATGTGAAAAATCATCTTCAGCTATGTAAAACTGCTTTTTTTTTTTTATTAAAGTGGGTGAAAATCACGTTTGCTTCAATGTTGTTTTGTTGAATATGATGTGTTTAAATCGCTGAGGGCTCTTTTGTTTTGCGTTTTCAGTGACAGTTTTTGCTGCAAGTTGGGATGTGAGTGAGAAAAGGAAGACGGGGATGCCCATGGACAAATGCGTTATTACTGAACACAAAATGTAGAAACTACATTACCCAGTATTTCTTAAGCCAAAAATGAAACCCATTCTTCTCTCAGCAGAGCTGTTTATCCTTTTCACAATGCAATTTTTTTCTATTGTGGTTGATTCTGTGTTTGTTTGTTGTTTTGTTTTTTCATTAAGTGACAGATATACTGGTTCATCAGTAACTTCCAAGATGGCACGTTCATGTTAATTTCTTGTCTGTGGGTGGCTGATGGCAGGAACAATCCAGTTTCACTTTGGGCACATGTCTCATTCACAAGTTAAACATCTGATTGACGATGCTCCTGGTTCAGTATAAGCTTCATGAGTGTGCAATCATCAAAATAATGTAAAAAAAATAATTCATTTGTTCTGTAATGCAAAACAATGAATTTAGTCTTAATGTAGTGAGTGAAATGAATCATAGTACCTGGTAGTACTAGTATAATAACTTGTACAAGGTTTCACAAGGTTATTTTAATTCTTAACATAAGACCAGAATCATTTCATTTTAAGTCAGAGATGAATTTGGAGATACAATTAAAGCTCACAGAGCAGAACTCCTCTGCTGCTCCCCCATTCAACTCCTTCAGATTAGCCAACAGCAATTAGCAAACGATATAAAATGACATTAAATGGCATAATATAACCCTTTCTGCATCTTATTTTGTTACGCTGGAAAACACATAATGCTGCCCCTTTAAACCTTTATAGCAGTTAATAATAGATTTTTTTTTTTCAAAATATTTTTTTTTTTCTAAGTCGGACTTCTTTAAATGAGTAATGTCTACATCTTTGTCACGTCCTAATTCCCTAACAGGAGAATAAGACACAGTGGAAAAATGAAATTTAAGACACACCTTGAACAAGAATTAAAACCTATGATGGAAAACCTGGATTGTTTTCAGGCCTAAAAAATTCCGATCTTAAAATTTAAGCCACTTTATGACTTTAGCAGAACCTTGAGAGGCTTTTCCATTATTAAAGCACAGCCAGTCTAAGTACCTGACTTTGTCCCACCCTCCAACGCATCCCCACTTTTGCAGCCTTACCCCATTTTAATCTAGTCCAATCTTTCATAATCAGCAAAAACCATTCTTCTCCCCTGATTGAGGAAGGGGAAGAGAGGAATGGGGGAGGATTGTGTTTCGCATGTCAACTAGTGGTTAACCTCAGGAAAGAAAAAAAAAAAACTTTCCCCGCCGTTAATCTCGGACGAGCATCTGAGCTTATTATTGAGGAAAAGCTAATTAAAAATCAGTTAACATCTCCGCAAATACCTTTTTTCTGCTTGTAGAAAAAAAAAAGAGAGGGGGGTAGAGGGAAGAAAAAAAAAAGACACCTGAATAGGCTCACTGTTCTTAGCTGTAACCGAAAAGACCCCGTGACTGCGCCTAATCTGCAAATTATATAACTCACAGGGCCATTTCCCTATGTAATACTGCAGGAAACAAAAGGACAGTTATTTCTGGGGGAGCAGTTTTTTTTTTTTTTCAACGTAGCGTTGGCATGAGCTCCTGGAGAACAGTCTCTCTCTCTCTCTCTCTCTCTCTCTCTCTCTCTTTCTCAGCACCATGAAATGAAAATTTACATTCGCTTAGTGGCGATGTGGCGCTCAGTGGAAGACGGCTGTATTTTTAATGAGAGCTGGGAGATTTAATTACCTCTGTTTTAGCAGGCGAGATTTCGGCGGCGCAATGACAAGGGAGACGCGGCGCGGGGAAGAGGTGGCACGCAAAAAAAAAAAAAAAATTCCTCTGCTCACATCCCAGCGGTCACCGAGCTGAGAGAAAGCTAGCAGGCACCGGGGCTGCAATTAATCCAAATTTATTCCACCACCACCACCATGGTGCAACCGCTGATCTGAAGGAGGAGGCCATGGAAGTAGTCAGTCAGCCTCCAAATGTGAAAGTAGAAAAAATAAATAAATACAGGCTTTCAAAAAATAAAAAAATAAAAAACCCAAAAACAACTGTATTCCCCAGTTGTTTTGAAGTGTTTTTAAAAATGTGATTACTAATGTTGTGAATTCTCCCCAAAGGCCCCGTTTTTCTAGCTTATGCAAAACTGCTACGAGGCTACATCTGACATCTTGCTTTTTTTTTTTTTTTTTTTCGCCTCAGATTTCACACCATCTCCACACCGGTGATGACAGGATGTCGGATGCAGTTACCGGCGTGGCGACACTTTAATGAATACCCAGATAAACGCCTTCCTCTGCAAACCGATTCCTATTTTTAGCACAGTTATAATACGTTGCAAAAAAATTTGTTCTCTTGAAACTTTTGCCTAAATCATCTTTTGGCAAGAAAGAAGGTGTGACTTTTTTCTTCTTCCCAAAATCACTTTTATTTGAAACGCTGGGAATCAATTTCAACATACATTTAAAAAGAGATTTAAAGAGGCAGTATTGTGTAAAATGATCTTTTCTGAGCTTTACATCATCTTATGGGAGATTAAAGGATTTCTGAAACATGCATCAAAGAATCAAAGCAACACTCCAGGTGTGGTTTTGATGAGGGGATGTCATTATGACAACCGTTCAGTTGAGCCAAACACCTGGGTGGACCTAACTGAGCAAACCTTCCCCCGCAACTCCCCCACTTGGCTCCTTCAGACTAGCCAGCAGCAATTAGCAAACACCTGGTGGACCAGCAAGTCTGAGTTCATTATACGAGCTACTTGTAATTGCAATGCTGGTGAGAACATTAAGAAGTTAAAGGAAGAATTATGTTGCGATGACTTCTTGAAGGCAGAGTTTCAGAAAGAGCAGGAGATTCTTAAAGAGACAGAGGCCCAATTTTAAGGCGTTAAATTACAAAATAAAATTTCTTTCAAGTCATATCTCATACACGTCACATTTTTATAGCAAATGAACAACATAGTTATTTGACTGTGCTATAAAATGGGAGCCATGTTCCCCTTTAAGTTATTTTCCTCCCTTTAAATTAATACTTCTTTCACATTATCTTGTTGCCTTTTGAGAGATCCCCATCGTATCTCCTATCAGACACAAAATTCTTGATTGGATGAAAATCACTTTGGTTCTTAAATTATGCCAAAGGTGTGTATTATTTCGAACTTAGCCATGATTGTGTACCTTCTGAAGTTAATTAGCAGCACTGGCTCTTGTCCAGGTAAGAGGTGGCAGAATACAAATGCACGACATCCAAAGCCAACTTCCATTATTAAAAAAATGTAAAAACCATCTGTCTTCTGCGTTTCAATAAAGCACAAGCTACTGTCAACAAATCCCAGTTAAATACATTGTAGTCTGTACACAACATGGTGTAAAAAAATAAAAATCAATGAGAGTTAACTATTTGGCAAGGCAGTCAAATAGAAACTCAGTTTATAGGTGTTTTTAAAATAGGACACACACACACACTGTCAGAAAGAGAGAAGAAGAGTGATATTTTGGCAAGCATGATGAAGTAAATCCCACTAAAAGAATGGGGAAATGCTAATCTCCATTAGACCTGCTAAATGAGTGGAGGTCAAACCTGGAACATACGTTTCTGTTGCTGAAAGCGCCAACAGAAGGTCGTGTTCAAAATGCTAAACAATTTCCCTTTGACTGCGTTTACTCTGACCAGCAGTGGGGAACATTAACCAAATGCTTTTCCAAAGGAGAAACGTTTCTGTTATCTTTGCATTATTCAGTCTATAAATCCTCTTCCTCATTCTAGATGTTTACTGTTGATGTTTTATTCATGGCATTTCAGTTATGTGTTAACATTACATTCAGGTTAGTGAGAGAGCAATGTGAGGATATTTATGAACCATCGAAATATTGATTTTACGAAGTGTAAAATATTTTCAAGGTCTGGTCAAATCGCACTGGTTCATATAAACTGTACACTTTACTTTTTTTTTGATTTACATGTCAAAATTGAACAGATTTTCATAT